TGGCCAGGGACATAACTCGCAAAGTATACATTTGTTCAAAATGGAACTTTGCATACAATTACCTCATATTGTGAGCCACTTTGTCTTAGAATATCGTTTGTTTCCGCTTCTTAGTTCAAAAAAAGGAACAGGTTTTGGAAATTGAAAATTTTCAATTTTTGACCTTGACCTTTGTTGACCTTGACCTTTGTAGGATCAAACGTCATTGGCATTGGCTATCTATTTGTACTTTCATATTTGCTGTCCTATGTCAACTTCCGGTTTTATAGTCGTGTGCAATTTGAAATTTTGATGACGTATATCTCTTGATCTTGACCTTTTTAGACTTTCTCTTTTACAAGATCAAAGGTCATTGACCTTGGCTATCTGCTAATACTTTCATTTGTGAGGTCTGACGTCTACTTCCGGTATTAGAATCTTCTAAAAAATGAAAATTTCTCAACTTTAGACTGTTTTTGCGATTGATCTAATTATCATGGAAGGATGATTTTTTTCGGGGTCTTTTGCAATTTGCTACATTTGCAAAGTCCCACTCTGTGCCACGAGTGGCTCTAGTTATTCCTTGTTACTGTTCAAAATAGAAATAGAAATTTTTTGTAAGAAAAATGGACTAGGAAAAAAGCTTTTGCCTGTATGATTCTTTATATTGCTATGAACAACATGCCTGAGGTAACACGTTATGCCTGTCACTATATCGCACGTATTCCAAAATGTTGATGAATTGTTCAACTCAATGTCAACATTTTCAATGAACTTATGGGTTTTGCAAGTGTCATTTGGGTAGTTTAGATTTTTTCGAGTATAGGTGAGAGGCAATCACTTTTTTTGTTTTGATTTAATTTTCCACAATAAGTCAATCAACTCAATTGCAAATAAATGGATTAATTCATATATAATTTCAGCCAAGAATATTGGGTAGCAATATCATCATTCTCACACTGTCAAGCTTATTATAGTCAGAAAACTTAAAAATCGGAGGCGGCAGATGTTTCGGACTATGTCAAGCTATACGAACTCCGTCTGATACCTTAACTTCTTTCGGCAATTCTTGTTTGAAAATCGTACATCTGTCGGCAGGCTGTAAGACGATTTATTAAGGACAATAAAATTGTGATTGTCGAATATGTAGCTAATCATATCCCATATGTTGAAGCATAGAAGTAACTAGGCCTACTACTAAATCCAAGAGTAGCACATGCTACCGAGTTGTTTCCAATTGTCCGTACTTGCTAGCGTACAATTCAATCAGTTCCTTGCATTTACAAATTTCCATGATAACAAAAGTGTCTATATAGGCTAATGCAGTAATGACTATAATTATAATGATGTCAAGACGAAGTTTGTGATAGCTTGAAATTGATTATAAAGATGATTCCTGGGAGAAATAGACTACACGATGAGGAAAATTTAAGCGCTAATCTAGTGCAAACGCTGATTTATGCCACTATAACCTGTACTTTGTTATCAACGCATTTCCTCAAAGGTGAAAAATATTCTAACGAATCCACGTTTTACGCGAGTCATATTGTCATCCGGGCAATTGTAAAATGGCTGACTTGGGAGGTCAAAAGTGCAAGTAATTGAGAAAATTTTGAGAAAAAAGGTAGGGAAATAAATATATCTTCCAAATAAAGGTTTTAATTTAAACAGTAACTATTGTTATATGTACTAGTTGAAGTTTGCTTGGTCAAACTGCTCCCATAAGGCTATTGCGCCTAGTATACAATGATGTAATTTGGGATTTTTTTTCCTCTGGAATTCTTGATTGGCTCATTTCGTACATTTTTGTGTCTGGTTTTCTGTTCACCTGGCCTAGGACATCTGGTGACATCGAATATACATAGTCGTGCAATCTACTCCCTATTTTCTGTAATAATACAGGAAGACAGACTATACTATTATAGGACTATCTTAACTGCATAGCATGGACTGATGTAGGGTAGGCTCAACTATAGAATAAGCTTTAACCTAAGGATTAGTACAGGTAGTCTTTTACTTAACTTACAACCTACAAATTACCTTCATAGACTACTCTATTATAAATATCACGCTAATTATTCAATTGTGAAAACCTAAAGATTGATATCAAAAATTCGGTGTTGAATCTTTATATCCATGAAAATAGGTTACACCACTGTACTGCCGTACATACTTAAAGGTTAAATATCTAAAAAAAGAATCACTCTATTATTTTTTTTTATGTAATGATCAATCCAGTTGATTTTAGAGACTAGTACAGTAAAGAGTCTTCACTCCTCCTATATTGAAGATATGACAATACTTTCATGTTATTCCCATGGTAATCAAAATATTGTCTTTTTTATCTTTTATAGACTGATGCTCCCAAGTTCAAAATATGAAGTTTACACAGTATCTCCAGTCTAGAGAGATAGGCTTTCTACCAAACAAATCAAAATTCAAATCTAAATTATCTGCTGAAACATTGATAGAGAAGCAAAGTGTTCAGACCATTAAAAATCTGGTAAGTCAACTGAGAAATGCAATAAGTTTGAACACCATTTGATAGTTTATTTGTTGAACATAAATAGTGTGAACATAGATGTACTTTTGGGCATTAGCTCAGCTACATATAGCCGATTACCAAATACTGAGCCTTGCTAAGTTAGTCTACATGTAATAACAAAGATGCTTGTATGCATTTTGTCATTAAGGTGATAAATTATTGATGTGTTCAGTCTAAAAACTCATTGCATAAGTTTGAAACTTGTTTTATGACCCGCTGTAATATCTTTTCTTGAAAACAAGATATTTTTCTTTTACAGCCATGTAAGTTGTCTGGTCAAACAAGAGCAACATTTTTGGTTGATTTCAGTAATGATAGGTGAGTACTTTAAGTAATTTACCATTCAATGTACACTGTTGAAGAAAAATACTTTCCAAATTCATCACAGTAGTAAAAAATTATTACATAGCTAAATTTAGAAGTGTAGAAATATTGATTCTTCTTATGTATAAATTTGAGATGAGATACATTAAAAACAAGATGTAAATAAGCTGAATTTCCTACCTTTTTTTTTTTTTTGGAGGCTTTGTGATAAATATAGATATTGGAAAATCTTGAGTAACTTCATATGGATTATATTTAGTTGAGGTTAATTTCAAATTCAAAAGTGTTAATGGTATCAAAAAATTGATTTATTTTCTAAATTTTTCGAAAGATTATTATTATTCCTAATTTTCTTTTAATGTTTCTATTTATAGAAGTAAAGTAGCTTCAACCCATGGTGATCATACAGTAAGAGTATCAGATATTGTTAGTGGTAAATGTACACATGTATTAGTTGGCCATCCACGTACACCATGGTGTTTAGCTTTTCATCCATCTTCTAATGATATATTAGCGTCAGGTTGTTTAGGTGGTGAAGTCAGAATCTGGGATTTATTAGTAAGTAGATAGTCCATGATTTTTTCCAATCTAATTTGTTATATTAGGTCTCTGATATCTATTTTGCCAGCTTTTGCTTTGCTTCAATTCACATAGTCAGTCTTATAATAAAAATTTGGAAAGAGGCTTAGAATTGTATCAGAAAAAAACCTTTGCAATTGATTAGAAAGTCTTGAAAACAGAAATGGCAAGCTGTTATAAAATAACAAAACAAAACTGACATCATACTGGCAACTTGACATAAGGAAATGTTTCCTTTTGATGGAACTGTTTTAATAAAATCTTGTTTTATGTTCTAGGGAGGAGGCAGTGAAATTTGGCATGCACCCAATGGTACAGTTATAGCATCTTTAACATTTCATCCTACAGATCATGTTTTACTATTTGCTACAGCTAATTCTGTTTATTTTTGGGACTGGAGTCAACCAGAACCATTTGCAATTTGTCAGACTAATTATGAGTATGAGAGAGTAAGGTGAGTTGATGTCTATATTTATTTATTGACGTCTTAACCATTCTTAAATAAATTAAACTTCTACTGGATGAAACATGTTAACTTGACATCTACTGATTATGTGCTGAAATATGTTGACAAAGATGAAAGAAAATTCTGTATTGTAAGAAACGTTTCTCTTGGGGCGCCGCCTTGGTTTTTAGCCAAAGTAAGGTCTTAGATTTCATTTCTTGAAAAATAAAAATGGAAGTAGTAGATTTTGTACTGTTCTCTCTAATAAATTGTTGTCTTATATTTTACTCAGATGGTTGGGATTTGATCCACTAGGACACTACATTTATACTGGTATAACTAATGTTACTACAATACATAGAGATGATCCCCCAGTTATACATATCAGGTATTAGACGACTTTATTATAATATGATCTATTCATTTAGCCTACCATGAATTTGAAACTTCTAGAATCTTAACTCCAGATTGTGTATGATATAAATGATCTTTGAGAGTGGAACGTTAGCACTCTGATAGTCAAGGTAATGTGTGTTGCAGATTAAAATAAGTTGTTTTTTCTTTTTGCATTGCAGAGACCGCACTGGCCATCATCCAAACTCTAGATTGAGGAGTAACTGGCCAAGATACCAGCATCTGGTAGAGAGGTTTCACTCCTATCAACGTGGTCGTACTAGAAATAGATTTGATGAAATGGAAGAGGATGGAGCAGATATACCACCAAGACCTCTTTCACCTGTTCACATTGATGGAATAAATCTAGCTAGACAGTTTGCTGCTGAGGTTACAGCCACATCACAATCTAGTAGAGATAGAAGTCGACTCAGATCTGCTCAGCAACCTGTACCTATAAATTATCTCTGGGATATTAACGAGGATGGAATGGAAGCAAGACCTTCGTTTTCAAGAGATCCTGAATCTCCCAGTGGCAGGCAAAATAATACAGATGAAGATTTAGGTAGTAGTGATATTACACTGCCTAGTCCATTAAGACAGTATTTCACTGACCCTAGGACCAGGGATTGGAGTCCACCACCCCGTGTTTCTAATGATGAGGTGGATTCTTTTGTTGATGATGAAATTGAAAGGTTTCGATCTGTATTACGCCAACCAGAGAGTAGATTCAGGTCCAGATACGCCACTAGACCCTCTCATCAGTCCCGCACAGATAGATCTCAACGTCGTCTAGCCATATTCTCAGAGTTTATGAGGAGGCGTGGTAGAAATCCAGATGGCAGTAGAATGAATAATAATTCTTCCTCAACAAGATCACGAGGGTATCTATTTGAAAGAGGTCTTGATAGATTAGACAGATCTTCAGTCACCAATACCAACTCCAATGAGTTTACACCTCGCTTAATTGATAGACTGAATGAAAATATTGATCTTTCTCCATCATCGTCTGCAACATCTACTTCATCCACCACAACCTTACCGTCAATATTTAGCACAGTTCCTCGAGTTAGTACAGGCTTTCCACCAGCAAGAATAACAGGATTATCACAAAATCACTTTGGATCAAGATTTTCAAGTAATTCTACTCCAGAAACTGCCACAGCTGCATCTTTATCATCAGATAACTCATCACGCTCAACCTTATCTATAGCTCAAGCTCTGACTACCAGCATTCAAAATTCGTTACTGGGAAGATCATCAGAAGATGCAGATCTAGAAACTGAGTCCACCAGTAGTAATTTAGTTGTGCAAAGACAATCTGATGAATCCAACTCTTTAGATTTACCATCTACAGCAACATCTTCACAGTCTCTTAACAGTTCGACTTTCACTGTTACCAGTTCTAGCAACAGTACATTATTTGTGGATCAACCTTTGGCTGCACCTCGTGGAAATACAGAAGAAAACTCATGCTCAAGAACAAGGCCTCCTTATCGTGGTCTCGACAGAGGAGGACTCCCAAGTAGTATATCAAGATTGCGAAGACAGCTTGCTGACTGTAGAACCTCTCGTCAAAGAATGCTAAGACATTCAAGACTTCAGTTGTCACGTACCCCTCAACCTGAGAGTTTCCGAAATCCCTTAAATCCCAGACCAACTGAACTGCCCGTATCAAGTCATTCCCGAAATCAGCATTTATCACGTTTCCTTACGTCTACAATTTCTAATTCTCTATTTTCACCGAATTTAGATGTGACTACTTCAAGTACCAGTGATTTAACTCCAAGACCATCTGTATTACAAAGACATTGGAGTCCACCTGGTGACACCCGTACCATCCTTACTGATCAAACTAGTCAAACAGCAGGAACAATGACTGAACCAGAATATACAGATCAAGGAACTGACGTTGTAGGATTAAATCTTGACGTAGAATTAACTCATGAGGATGAGAGTATGGGTGTGGATGATGCTTCAGAGGATACTAGTTATTTACTGTATGACAGTGACACCATTACAGATAGTTCCCTAACTATAGATCTCTCGGATGAAGCTGCACCAACAGATCACGAGGATCTACATATACCAATAGCTACTGAAAATTTCCTGAATTCTTTAGACTCGAGTCATGATATTATAACCCTTGAAAACTTGTCTTATAGAAATGAAGATGCAGAGCTTGAACCTGTAACTTCATTAGATGAATCTCCGGTGTCAACTAGCACTACCTCTATACTATCAGGACTAAATGATTCTTCATCAGCAACAAGTGATCTTGCTTCAGTGTCCAGTCTCTGTCAGTTTGTTAATCATTATAATCAAAGCTCTCCCATAAACATTACATCTAGTCTTACTGATACTCTCAATACATCCACTACCATGACTGCAGAACCATCTGATGCTCTTGACTCCAATTCAGTTCAGCTTGTATCCACATCTTCTATAACAGTCACTCCTGATGGTGAAGGTACAAATTTACTGTCATCTTTAGGTTTGACACCTACTTCATTGGGAGTCAGTAACACAGTTGTGGTTTCATCAACACCCGAAAATGATCAAGGACTAGAGGAAAATGCTGCTTCAATAGCAGATTCGGCTTCTGTCACTTCCAATGCATCAGTGTCCAATAACTCTGGTGGTTCTCCTCCATCTTTACCAGATGATGATTCTACCAATAACTGTCCAGCTCATACTGTTTTACGCCATCATGCTTACTTAGCCAATGCTACAGCACGCTTGGAGAGAAGAATATCTGAATTGGATCAAAGAATCGGGCGATCAAACTCAGCAATATCCTCATCTAGTTTGAATAATCGTGAAGATTTAGCCAGTATAACAGCAAGGTTAGAAAGGCAGGTGTCAGAGTTAGATCATAGAATCAATGCTTTAAGACAGTCATTTACTGAAAGATTAAGGGCATTACATCAGGATCGAGATAGAATATTGAGTATGCGTGGGCGATTATCTGGTGAACCTGAACGAGCAGTACCTACTACCACTTCACCTTCAGCTTTACCTAGAATTACCATTACTAGAGCTGGAGATGAAAGTAATGATGATGCTGATTTAACATTCCAACCAACTACTGGTACACAAGCAGGTTTGTCCATGAACTTAATCAAATCTAAATCTTTTAACCTTTAGATGTTTCTTGATTTCTTTAAAAACAGTTTGCAAACTAGAGTCAATATATGGGCAAGTTTCTTTATGATGCTCATTTCACTTTTAAATGGTGCTTTCTCTTTATTGTGACAGTGTAAGCATGATTTTCAGTGTTCAATTGTTATTGACTCGTGAATGTGTTTATCATAAGTTTTAAGATTATCTGTCAATTTTAGAAAGTAGAAGAAATGGTAGAACTTTATTGGAATCATTTTTACGGTATGAGTCTTCAGCATCCCAGAATAATACCAGTAATACAAATAGAAGATTACGGTAAGCATCTAGAAATGAGACAAATGGACTTTGTCGCTTTTTGTTTAAAGGGATAGTGGGCTATTCTTTTTGACCAGTTATACTTTAGTTTCAGAAACGGGATTGTTTTAGCTGAGCCAATAGTGTTCACAGCTCACTGTCGAAATTTGAGCTTTCAAATCCATATGTGTCCAGAATTATCTGCGTTTGAATGTTAAAATGACGACATGTCCCTTTAATGTTTTGATTTAATATATTTCAGTAATCCATCAGAACCTCCAGTAAATAGAGGCTCAGAAGATGAAAGTTGGCATTCCCTTCAACAAATCCATCTACATCCTCATTATTCTAGTTCTATTTTAGATGATACTATAAATAGACCTAATGATGCTCTACAAGCTGCTATCAATAGAGCTATAGCAGGTAGGAAATTTGTTTGTCTAAAGTTGCGTTTAGACAGCCAAAAATTATCTTGGCTGACTCTGGATCAAGCACAGTTCACTTCAAGTGGGCTAATTTGTATGCAGTGTAAACTCTACTATTGGAGAAGAATTTGACAGCAGTACATTTGGTATTTACTTCATTCAATATTGTCTGTAGTTATTTTACAAATTCAGTTTGAGAGAAGCGCTTGAACTGTTTTGAGTGTCAGCTTTAACCATTGATCCTATTTGAGTATAACCTGTTGTTCATAGTCTTGGATATGCAACCTTCAAAATAAAACCTAAGACTAAGAATATAACAGACATTACTGATTACCTTCTAGATGTTTTATCAGCTGTCCATTTCGTTCCCTGAAGCATACATTTTACAAACTTTGAAAATCTATTTTGTGAAGAAAATGATTGAATTTTGGGGTAAAAAATCAGTTTGCTGTAAAATCTATTGTATTGATATTTTAGGAGCATTTATGGGTACAGGTGAAAGTGCTGTGGCTAATAATATAGTTCCTCAATCCCATAGAATACAGTGGTGGGATTTCACACAATATCAAGTTCCTGACTTAAAAAATAGTAAGTATTTTGAACTGTGATCAATATCTATGTATCAGTATTCTATATTTGAACACAAAAGGTAGGTTACATAGTTAAATTGTTAAGCGCATTGTCAATTTGAACCAAATAATCAAATCAAATGTGTAATTATATTACATTGTAAAGCGGTTTTCTACATTTTTTATGTGTATTGGTAATACTGATGTCACCTATCGCAGAATATGCTTTATTACGTAAGACCCTTCACGATTTGGCGATGTCATCAAACACTTGAGTGGAATTACAGGAACCACTGACGTATTATAGAAAATTGGAATGGTGCAAATTGATGCTATCAGTGACTCCAATACACATGAAAAGTTCAGAAAATCTCTTTACAATCCTTTTAAAGGAAATGGCAACTTGATTTGAATTAAAGTGAAATGTATATGTGGAACTCTAAACTTCTGAGTTCAAATCAAATAAATGTAATATTTGTGATCTATTGTAGGTAAATCTAACATAGTAGTACCAGTATGTAAATTACATAATGATGCTAGTTGTGATATTAGTCAAGATGGTACTAGATTAGCGACCTTTGTACCTAGTCATCGTGGATTTCCTGATGATAATATATTAGCAGTCTTCTCCTTACAAACACATAACTTCTCACATTGTCTCTTTACTAAAAGTTTTGGTGAGTTACCTTTAATTCTTAACTTATTCAGCTTCATAAAAAAACACAAAAATAGACTATTTATTTAATATTATTTTCCTTTTAAATTGGAGCGTGTATATAATCTCTTGAGCTCTTGATAAGTTTTTTGTAATTTTGTTGTAGGTCCCAATGCTATATCTGTCAGTATATCACCAAGAAATGATCATGTTTTAATTGGGTTAGCTGCTAAACGTTTATCTTGGGTTTTTACAACACACCAGGTGAGTACAAACTACTATTATAATTAAAATTCCAGTGTATGATTAAGTTAAGTAATTATTAAGAAAGATACTTTCTGAAATAGTCAGATGAACAAATCTGAGGACAATTCAAAATGTAACAATAGCAGTTAAAGTTTTTTATGAAGTAATTAGAATATACAATTGTTAATGTTGTGAATGCACTTTAATATATTTTGCTATTTTTTTCTTTAAACAATCTCTTTCTTACAAGATAGAAAAAAAACCATCTCTCACTAAGTAAGTAATCATCAAGTTATTGTTATATATTTCTGTTTTCAGTTAGTTGGTCAGATTTATCATTTAAAAGAACCTCATGCTGGAGAAGAATCTATGAAGGTATTTAGTTTTCATTTGGTCAATTAATAAGTTGAATTTTATCATCACCATATGTAAAAAGCAATTTTCAGAACAAAATTTGAATGTACTTTGTCTCCTTTTGACTTGCATCACATTTTTTTTTCCAAAAATGCTCTTTGGAGCGTAATATTTGATCGTTATAGAATATTTCAGAATGTCATTGATAACTCTATAAATTTCAGCATGTAACTGATGTCTTCCATACATGTGATTCTGATGTACGTACCCATGTTAGTGTGAACTCTGCCCGGTGGTTACCACGTGTTGGTGAAGGTATAGTGTATGGTACAAATAGAGGAGATTTAGTTATCTGTAGACCAAGGTAAGATTTTCAACTCAAACTTTCATATTAGTGCCTTAAGTTGAATAGTATCTTGTTACTATTCAATCAACTCTAATTTTCTAATCTAATAATCAACTAATATTTCCCACATTGCACACTGAGGGCACTTATTGTTTATTATTGTCATAGGGTGCATCCCATTATGGTATTAGAGATAATTTCTCAAATAGTTATCTGAATTGTATCAATTATCATTATGTAGTGTCAGAAAATTGATCATTTTTTTGTGGTTTTTTTTTAGTAAAATGAATGATTTTCATATCTCTTTCAGTGCAAAAACAGTGACACAGAAAGCTGAAGTATCAGAGGCCTCTACCACCTCAGCTATTGAGAGTGAAAATTCTGAGACATTAACAGAAACAAGGATGAACTTATTAAACTTATTTCAAACTACTACTCCACAAACATCTACAGCTGCTACCCAAACTATTAGTCGTGGTATACGACGTACAGCAGGCACTCAAACCTCGGCCAGTACCTCCCAGGATGATGGTTTCCGTGAACCATTTATAGTCTAACTAGTTTCCTAGTTGAATACAATACCAAAATTTTTTTCCCAGTGTTATCTCACTAAGTTACCAAAAAGATTTGAAAAGTATTTATATATGTGATTAGAGAACTGAGTAAATGGCAGTTCTCAGCTTTCACTTGACTCTATAAGACATCTTTTTTGGATCACTTTATCATGATATTTACAAAAAATATACACTTGATATTGAAAATTTGATACTACCACTCCTTGTGGAAAAAAAAGGCTTTTTGACCTCATGTCCTAGAGAAGAATGGGTTCAATTTGTTACACATTTCAATATATTTATTATGTGTGCATATTTGTAGGAAAGATTTATTTGAAATTCTCAAATAGTCAATAATCTATAAATAAATATATGCGACAATGAGAAAAAAAATTCCTTCCAGGTTGACAGTTTTCAAATACTACTACTATTTGGTATTTCTTGTGTTTAACAGGTCAATTGCTAATTAATATTGAATATGGACATAGATTATGTGGTAATTATCAGACAATACTAAGGGCAATCTAATGTGAAATTGTAATTAACAATGTAGGTTTTATGTACGACCATCAAATTGCTGATAAACTAGTATTGAGTCTATAAAATTGGCATGTTTGTAGCATGTAAAATGACACCTGAACCATACTGTAGCATGTAAAATATCCTTCTCCAGACGTAAGATCCTGTCAATGTGTAAAAAATATAACTGTATATTTTGTGCTATAAACTAATTTATTGTATAATAATGATGTATATTATGAACATTATAATCAAGATTTTCAACCTAAGGTTGAGTAATACATATAAAGGTTTCAAAACCTATCTATTGTTTGCAATGTACAAGAACTTGTTAAGAATGTAAATTTTTTTCGTAAAGAAAATAAAAATATTTCTAGGCTGAAAATCCTTTTTTAACCCTTGAATCTATGAACTACTCTGAACATTTGTATAAAATCTACTTTTATTTGTTCTCTTTTGAGTGGTTTCTGTTGCGTTTAAAAAGATAAACTCATCACAGAAAACACAATCCGCTCTGCCAACAATAACAACCCAACTCTGGTGATCACTATATTTAACTCCTAAGCAAGTTGTTCACTAGCCTATTCCAATACCTACAGAATGTTGATGGTGCAGGACTCAGACGCAAAGAATTTACCTGTACTGGAAAGTTTGAAAATTGTTCAGCCGCTTTCATGTCAAAAATTAATTCGATAAAAAGGTTTTGTATTGTTAATGTAAGTGTTGACTTTCCGGATTATATAGATCAGTGTTCGGACCACATAGACATTTTTTTCTATCCTAATCCTTATTTTACGCGTGTGATTGGAGTTATCCCCCTTTCCATCATGGTGGAAAAAAGCGTCAAATTTGAACAAAATTAACAATTTATGCACATTTCTTGGTGAAACTGAAATGGATAAGAAGACAAAGCGTGTTTGTTACATCCACAATGAAGATATTTTAGAGAAATGTGATAAACTTATTCGTATCCAAAACAGAGTAAGTAAGCTCTCCTCGCTATTACGAATACTGGTACACAGGCATCTCTTTTTATCAATAATAGTCGACACTCGAGAGAGTCGACTATTGTTAGAAACAGATGCCTGTATACCGGTACTATGGATTCACAGACCTACTGTACGACACCCCAAAATGGTTATTATAGTCATAGAGAATCGTATTTTGCCAGATATTTTTGTATGAATTGAATCTTAAAAATGTCAACCAATAAGCAAATCATTATATGCAAATATGATAAAGGGGGACTTGCAGTTGTTTGATTAATGAGGGATGCCTCAGTCATTGAACACTATTTATATTCCACCATCATGGTCAAAAAGATAATTGAAGACGAATATTTTTGAAATGACAGAAAAATATAAATTCTTAGCCAACTGTAGTTGAGGAGTAGCTACTAGGCCTAAAGCTGTTATGTGTCTACAGTACTGACTGTACTTTTCATTGAAAATGATGTTGTTCGGTACATATATTTTGAAATGTGTTTTTCAGGCAGACATTGTTCATTCTTTAATAAAAGCATACAATTTATTTCAACATATGAGGTTAGTACATCTTGTAATACCATAAAATGATATGATAGCCTATGTCCATGAAAATTACTCTCTTTATCTACTTAGTTTTGCTTGAAATTTTCTTTCATTGATTCTGGTTCAAGTGACTTTTTTTTATTAGTTTTAAAAAATGTAAAATTATTTTCAGCATAGTTGAACCAAGACAGGCAACTACAGAAGAGTTACTTGGATTCCATTCTACAGATTATATTAGTTTCCTTCAGAATCTTGATGATTTATCTGATGATGAGAAATGTGGAGAGGAAGCAGAAGAATTTGGTTTAGGTAAAATTCTGAAGGGTATACTTAGGGCATTTTATTGATATTGAAAGCACACTTGTTTAATTCATAATTATGATACTCTGATAATTTTGATTTATATGGTATCATTTTTTAGAAGATTCTAATACCGGAAGTAGACGTCAGACCTCACAAATGAAAGTATCAGCAGATAGCCAAGGTCAATGACCTTTGATCTTGTAAAAGAGAAGGTCTAAAAAGGTCAAGATCAAGAGATATACGTCATCAAAATTTCTAATTGCACACGACTATAAAACCGGAAGTTGACATAGGACAGCAAATATGAAAGTACAAATAGATAGCCAATGCCAATGACGTTTGATCCTACAAAGGTCAAGGTCAACAAAGGTCAAGGTCAAAAATTGAAAATTTTGAATTTCCAAAACCTGTTCCTTTTTTTGAACTATGAAGCGGAAGCAACCGAAATTCTAAGACAAAGTGGCTCACAATATGAGGTAATTGTATGCAAAGTTCCATTTTGAACAATCGTATACTTTGCGAGTTATGCTCCTGGCCAAAAATATCAATAATGAGTAATATAACCCAGATGTGCCACGCCCACCTTAATTTTTTTTGCATAGGGTAATTGATATTCCAAACGTTATGTTGTGTTTTAAATTTCAAGCTTCTACATTATTCAGGTCAAAAGATATAGGTCAACAAATGTCAACAAAGGTCAAAATCGAAAAATGAAAATATCCAAATGTTAAAACCCGTTCCTTTTTTGGAACTATAAAGCTGGAACAACTGAGCTGTTAACACAAACTGGCCAAAAGGATGAGAAAATTGTGTGCAAAGGCCCTTTTTTAACAAACGTATCCTATGCGAGTTATGCCCCAGCCCCAAAATGTAAACAATTAGTAATTCAACCCGGATGTGCCACGCGCACCCCAATTTTTTTGTCATGGGTGAATTCATATTCAAAGTGTCTAGTTGTATTCCAAATATCAAGGTTCTACATACAATAGGTCATAAGATATACATACACCAAGATCAAAATGACACAAATATGGTAAAACAAAACTCAAATTTGAAAAAATCACCAATTTCAATTTTGCTTTAAGAAAGCAATTGTTATATATCTATATAAAGTGCATGAAAAGCACATTAGGAAACCGAAAAAATTAACCTTCTAGGTTAATTAGGTCACGTGCTAGAGCAGTCCAAAGTTGCGAATTTGGCTTTTTACGGATAGCTATAAAAGCGGAAGTACATGTCGGAGGTCAAAGGTCAAAGTATCAAATGATAGCCAAGGTCAATGACCTTTGACCCTAGGTCAAGGTCATCAAAGGTAAAGGTCATATGGTGTGATCGTTTAAAGATTGATTTTAAGAAAAGTAAGAAAATCAAGATGGCGGCCAAAGTTTCACTTCCGGTCTGAATTTTATTTTCTTCGTTTTTTTGTATCAGCATTTACTTACGACCTGCATAAATTCCATTGGCCAATTTAATATACACCGGAAGCTATTCGACCGGAAGTAGATTGTACTTTCAATTGATTCCAACTTTAAAACCGGAAGTGGCGTCAAAAGTCTGACTGTATCATATCATTTACTTTAGTGATGTCTCTTTGCATTTTAAATTTCAGATCAATCGATTCAAAAACAAAAAAGTTGCAAAAAAATTGCAAAATTCAATCGAAAAAAGTTTGCGACAAATTTTCGAATTTCGTTATTTTTTAAGTGCTATCTGATCAGAAATTCCAGCCAGATTTTAAAACTGAAAACCCGAAGAAAATCGATGCAAAAATGCGCATTCTAGAGCGAATTTACCAGTTTTTGCATATGTTGCACTGTGGCACTTACGGTTTTGCAAAAATGTTCCAATTTATATTCATTTTAAACGTTGCCACTGCAGAAGGTTTACACATGTAGAAATGTTGATGTAGCTATTGAAGCCTAGGCTGTGTGCCCTGTGGAAATTTCGAAAAAAAAAAAAAAAAAAAAAAAAAAAAGAATTGACAATATGATAACAAACAAAAAGCTGCCATTGCTTTACTATCATTCCCAACTCATTAAAACAAATCCAATCTACTGTTTGATTACAGAATAATTAATGAGGGTAAGGTTTATTCAGTCTGTTATGGTCATGAACATTATGAACTATATGTAGGTCCTGAATGAGTTGTCGATGTTGACAAATGGGTACACAGTGGCATCAGGTGTTCAGAAAGGGAGGTGACAGTACCATTTTATATTGTAGTTTATGATTGTCCAATACAAGATGGAGTGTTTGAATGTGCCTCACTGGTTGGTGGTGGAACTATTACAGCTGGTGAAAAACTGATCAATGATGAAAGTGATATTGCTATCAATTGGTATGGTGGATGGCATCATGCACACAGGTATCTTGGTTAGATTCTGATTCATGTTTTCTTCTTGTCAGTGATGCAGGTTTGAGGGGCAGACATAGGAAAAAGCATTTAGTTTTTTAGACGGGATAATAAACCTAGGCCCTGTTACAGGTTGTGCAATATAAAGATCTCTCAACAATCAGTACTGGTATCAAAAAAGAGTAGGCTTATGCTGAACAAGTACCATATACACAATATTCTTATTTTCAGAGATAGTGCCTCTGGATTCTGTTATATAAATGATGTGGTATTAGGTATTTTAAAGTTAAGACAGAAATTTGAACGTGTTTTATATATAGATCTAGATTTACATCATGGGGACGGTGAGTTTTATTAAAAGATTAAAATGATTATGATAAAATCAAGTAAGGTCATCAAAAAGTATTTTGTTGTTAAAGCAATAAGATAGATGTCATAATTAAAATTACAAATAATATATATTAACTGTTAACATACTGCTCAATACATCAATTGTAGAGTGATATAGAAGTAGGAATATTTCTAGATGTCATATTGTCTTATTTATCTATTACCTAGGATTATTTAACTCATTGATATTGTATTTCATTCAGGAGTAGAGGAGGCATTCTGTTGTACAAATAAAGTTTTAACAGTTTCATTTCATAAATACTCAGCAGGATTCTTCCCAGGTGAGATTGTCATATTGATAAGTTCTGTTTATATACCATTATTTAAATCATTAATATGACATTTTCTGTTATTATACAGTTATTAATAATTCATGGTGATAGTTCTGTTAATATACAGTTATTAATGATTAATAGCTATATGTTCTGTGACAGGCTCTGTTAATATACAGTTATTAATGATTCATGGTATGAGTTCTGTTATTATTATTAAAATGTATAGGTAAAAGTTCTGTCAATGTAATATTATTATTGTGTATAGGTATAAGTTCTGTTAATTTGCTGTTATTATTATTATGTATAGGTACAGGTTCTGTTAATGATACAGGGTATAGTAAAGGAAGACATTATACTGTTAATGTACCATTATTAGATGGCTTAAAAGATGATGAATATAACAAAATATTTTATAGGTAGGAATAAACAGCATAGATAATGTATTTTGAACTATTCACTACCATTTTTATTCAAAAATGCTTGCTTTTTTTCTTGATCTTATCTACTTTATAGTTATCTTAATCATAACCTATATTTGGGCAAATGATGAATAAAGAATTACTCCCCTTCAATAATAAAAGTCCTGAAATCCAAAATAACAGTTTGGCATTATATTGATAGCAGCTAATGAACTTTTTATGGATCAGTCATAAATGAGTAAGTATTTCATAATAAAAATATCAGGTGTTTATTAGAGTAAGCATACCCTGGAACCAAACAATCGTTTTGCTCAATATTACAAAAAAAATATGAAAGTGAGTTATAAACTTGTATTATAGTGTAATGGTACAAATTAAAGACTCATTCCAACCTGAGGCAATTGTTTGTCAATGCGGTGCTGATGGTTTAGAAGGTGATCCAATGAAGTCATTCAATCTATCAACACTATCATTAGGAAGATGTGTACAATATGTTTTATCCTGGAATAAACCAACTATATTATTAGGAGGAGGTATAAAAAAAATCTTGTCATTGTCATTTACTGTTAAAGTTCATTGATGATATTCAGATTAATAAGCAGAGGTCATCAGGTTAGGTCAAATGGTTGGTGGCATAGCCAGGATTTCATTCACAGCTCCTCTTGGATTATAGAGGATACTAGTTGCTGTGGGGGTTCAGATGTGATCTAAGAAGGAGAATGCACCAAAATACACCACTGTTCAAAAAAGGCCCTTAACTGTAGTGGCTACATTCAAAAGAAAGCCTGAGAGAAAAAAAAAGGAAGTAATTTTGGTGTAACTCTAACCTCTGAACACAGACTTTACAAGATATGACCTCAGTAATTACTCTGGTAGACTTCTGTTAAATAATAACTGTTAGAGATTAAAGTCTGCATGTTTCAGACACATTGTTATCTATGGATACAAAATACATATTTTGAATATTTCATAAGTGTTTGTAAATGTGATCAAAAGATATAGATATTGAAATATTACAGTTTTAACAAGCAGTATTCCACAAAAATTTTACATGGGACATAGTTAAAGCAAATCTCAATGAAATTCTTTATTTTATTTTTTTGAAGGAGGTTATAACTATATAAACACAGCAAAATGTTGGGCATTTTTAACAAGTTTAGCCGTAAATAAGAAACTATCACGAGATATTCCTGATCATGAGGTAAGAAATTGGGTTATCAGGTAACTTATACCTTGTTCATCCCTGTATTTATTGAAGACTTTCCTTGTTCCTTCATCTATAACAATGATATTTAACTGAACAGTGTTAAATCAATGTTTCATCTTGATAATATTTTGCAAATTTTCTGTTGATGTTGAATGTATAAAAAATACTAGTTAATGACATCAGTTATATGATTTAATTCTAAGGGTAGATTCCCACTGGATGTTGAAATATAGCATCAGGTAAAAGGGGATACCCTCTGATAGAAACACTGGCGTAGATTTTAAAGAGAAGCACTCATGAAATTATTACTACTGGAGAGATTATATGGTTTTTTATTTAGTTTACTGTTGATAAAGCTCATTTTGAGCTACCCATAGTACTTTTCAAAATTCCAACATCAGGTTTGACAACAAATTGATACAGAAATTATGGAAAGTGATAAGGAAATTTTAGTATCGCTTTTAAATAAATGCAGATGAATAAAAATCAGTGCCACTGATGTTGATTGTCAAGGTATTGCACTTGTATTGTATATTTCAGTATTTTTCACAGTATGGACCTGATTATGAGCTAGGTGTAACTGTAGGTAATAGATCTGATAATAATAGTCAACAATATTTACATCATATTTATACACAAGTTATAGGTAGGTTGATTAATTCAAGTTTCCAGAATCTTCTTTGCTTAGTTCTTTGCTTAGTTGTTTGCTTAAACAATATTAGGAAAAAGTGATTAATTATTCAACTCACATGGTCTCATCAGGATGTTTGAAACTTTTATGTACATATATATCTACCATGTTTCACTCTATGAGATAGATATTCATTATGTCACATTATTTCCAAACAATCATCAAAACACTTCTTAGTAACCATTTAGTTGACTTACAAAAATGAATTTATTTTGTTTTGTAGATAATATGAAGAATATTAAGTTAGATAGATGATGGTATTAGATTTTAGAATTAACTCTCTGAAAGAAGCATTGGTGTTAATCAAGTAAATAATACAGCCCAATATGTGTATGAAAGTTTGATGAAAAAATTATATACATTTTTATTGCGTATTCAATTGTAATTTTAAACTGTTTTGAATTGATTGTTGAATTAAATTGTTAATTTTATTGTGTATTTGCTTTCTGATAATATAAGTTATACACAGTAGTAGCCAAGCCCACCTTGTAGCTTGTTTTTTTCTGACTTGTAAACCGTGAAAGACTCAGTTGCTTGGTTTGAACAATAGATGATAATGAAATAAAGGGGGGCAACTCATTAATCAGTCACTTCATCAACCAGTGAGCTAGACTTACTATTTTTATTATGACATTTATGGTCTCATCAGTTGAAACAATGTCTGAGAAGTCTAAAGCCACCTGCTATAGAAGAAAGTCAATGATGATGCGGTGATGAGACCTAATGGATTGACAGAACACATCGCTCGAAAACCTGACTCTGTCTCAGCAGTGACAGCATACGTAATCTCGCTTGACTGTGCTAAACACTGTTTGGAAACTATGTATAAGGCGATTGGGTGCAGCTCGTATAGCTACTAAAAGTGGTCAATTTGGTCGGCGACCATTGAGATTGACTATATATTATTTGATAAGCCCGAAGTTGAAGTGGAAACTTTATACCCCTCATTTGGTTTTAGAGAAATTTCAGGAACCACTGACATCTGAGGGAAAATTTGAATGGTGCAATTGATGCTAGTGGTATGTGCGATACACATAATTTCTGTTAGAAAACATCTTCACAGTCCCTTTAATGACATCTGTATTATAGAGGAAACAGATTTTATGAAATTAAAAGCGCCATCATCCAATCTGATTCATTTCCTTTCAATTGCATGATCCGCACAAGATTATCGACAAGGCTCTAGTTGGCGACAAAAATCGCCGATCAAGACCGCTTATGTGTCTGCACTAAAACGACTATACCGTGATTCGTACATGTCACAAAAGGAGCAAAATACAAATTTTCCGTAAAACCTCATTACAACTTTTGAATAATTTAACATTTCAAGGAAAGTAACTTATACTGAAACATGAGGCCAATACTGATCGTAGATCATAAGTAAACACTTATACCGAAAGTTTGAAAATACTGATGTCTATGATTGTGTTACTGAGCACATTTGAAAATACTGATGTCTATGATTATTTTACTGAGCACATTTGAAAATACTGATGTCTGATTATGTTGCTGAGCACATTTGAAAATACTGATGTCTATGTTTGTGTTACTGAGTACATTTGAAAATACTGATGTCTGTGATTGTGTTACTGAGTACATTTGAAAATACTGATGTCTATGTTTGTGTTACTGAGCACATTTGAAAATACTGATGTCTGTGATTGTGTTACTGAGCACATTTGAAAATACTGATGTCTATGTTTGTGTTACTGAGCACATTTGAAAATACTGATGTCTATGATTATGTTACTGAGCACATTTGAAAATACTGATGTCTGTGATTGTGTTACTGAGCACATTTGAAAATACTGATGTCTATGATTATTTTACTGAGCACATTTGAAAATACTGATGTCTATGATTATGTTACTGAGCACATTTGAAAATACTGATGTCTGTGATTATGTTACTGAGTACATTTGAAAATACTGATGTCTATGATTGTCTTACTGAACACATTTGAAAATACTGATGTCTATGATTGTGTTACTGAGTACATTTGAAAATTCTGATTGTCTATGATTGTGTTACTGAGTATATTTGAAAATTCTGGTTGTCTATGATTGTGTTACTGAGCATATGAAAATACTGATTGGCATATATGACAAAAAGGTGTCATATAGAATACTATTCCGTTTACTTCACAAACTTTTTTATAGTATGAATAAATCTTTTTCAAACTTCAAGATCGAGACCCTTTTGTCAGGCTACTTTGTCATGCCATTATTTAGCCAGGTGCTCTTTACCTATATTATGTTCCAAAATGCCTGTATGCTTCTTGTTAGATTTTTACATTTAAATTGTGATACGTAGACGTTCAAAAAATTCAATGTTTGGCCATAACACTACTGTTCAAGGAAAGCTCCAATGTCAGGTTAACGCTCTAATTCACAAGTAGGTCGCTAAGTGAAGTCTTTATGTAAGCAATAGATAATATCTACTTGCGTGTAATTTATGCATGCATACATATGCAATGCCTGCTTTTTGCATTGCATCGCTAATTATCGTTGTCACAAAAGAAAATTCCACCTTGATGGCTAACTTTATTTCCATTCTTATCTGATTTTATTTTGCAGAAAAATGATTTGTGCTCATTAAGGAATGAAGGCTTAAAGGTGTTAACCTACATTCCCATTTCACCTGTCTTTCAGATTAAAATGTCCGATATCCATTATGTAAGCTTCCCCAGAAATCAATTAGGCTCACAGTTTACCATATGAACAAAAGAAACGCTAACTCAGTTGTTCACCCTTTTTAAACTAAATTGATAATCTGCTTTAATCTAGGTTTATTGGCATACTGCCTGTACAAATCTATTTTAGTCCATGACGCATATAAGTAAATGTAAAGCGAGCTTTAGTTAGTAGTAAATAATATAGCTGGCGTTGCCGCTCTCTGATTGGTTAAGAGTGACTATTGATTATTGTAGGACATTATAAAACCATATATTATCAAGGACGTATATTAAGCTGCTCGTCATTTCTGTGGTGAGACAGAATCAACTAGCAACATGGCACCTCCAAAGGTAGATCTGAACAACAAAGAGAAGAATATTGACGGTGAATCAATTCCTGAAGCAGTAAGTACTATTCTGGCTATATATTTGAATAGAGATCAGTTCGTGTTGACATTACGATCATGAACTAATTACCTTCCTGTACCATTTAAAACGTTTCTTTATTTGTTTAGGTATATTGGCCCATTTGGTTTGTCTAATAATACTAACTTCAAGTTTTATATGATATGGCTAAGGTGGTTGTCCTACTAATATCTATAATTTAAAGAGGTAGTCTGAAATCAGCTGTGAATATGGTTAAAGGGTTGAGGACATGGTTCATCCCCTTTGTTTACGTCATTTCAATGTCAACAAACTATCAAAGGGTTGTTTACAATACAAAGAAATCACCTTGTGTATTGTTGTATTTAATATAATAATAGTTTATATAAGAATTGTCATATGTTATATATTTGGGTCCGCCTTAACATAATTAAGGTCCCGTACTTTTAAAGGACGTATAAAAGTAACTTGGACAACATGACAACGCATAACTATTTATAGCCATACTAATATCCTGTTGTCATGAGTAAGTAATCATTACATTTTGCATGTAATGCCGATTGGTATCGTCCTTTAAGGAAACAAATATCACAATTGGACGTCATTTAGCTCAAACAATTATGATCATATATTTATTCTTATCTTTGGCTGTTCCAAACAATGATCCTTAAACAGTGTCAGAGCTCATCATTAGGACGAGATAAAATAGGCTTGATTATAATTACTTTGTTTTGTATAACGTGATACATCATGACACTTAATAGGAAATCGGATCTGAATAGTCAGATTACCAACTTTGTAATTATCTATCTATAAGATAGTCAACCTACATTTGACATTCATGTCAGGTCAGGAGTTTGTTAGGTTTACATAAACTCTTGTCTCTTTATTACATGACCAATTGTCTCGGTTTTCATGACAAAGTGTCTTTATTTACATGAATTGTCTCTATTTACATAAACGATAGTTGTCTCTATTTGCATGGCCAATTGTCTCTATTAACTTGACTAGCTGTCTCGGTTTCCATGACCAATTGTCTCTATATTAACAAGACCAATTTTCTCTATATTAACATGACCAATTTTCATGACCAATTTTCTCTATATTGACATGACCATTTTTCTCTATATTAACATGACCAATTTGCTCTATTACAAGGACCATTTGTCTCGGTTTACATTGACAATTGTCTCTATTAAAGGAACCAATTGTCACGGTTTACATTGACAATTGTCTCTATTAAAGGAACCAATTGTCACGGTTTACATTGACAATTGTCTCTATTAAAGGAACCAATTGTCACGGTTTACATTGACAATTGTCTCTATTAAAATGAGGAATTGTCTTGCTTGCAGCTGACTTACAGCTATTTAGCATGTGAAATCACAGTTTCTGGAAAGGTTAAATTCAACGGTTTGACAGTCTATATAAGAACTAATGCATATAGGGTAAAAGCTCCATGGAACAACTAAGAGAATTGGGCGATACGAACTATAAGATAAGAACTATGGATTGAAAGTTATGAAGAGCAGAGAATTGAAAATAAGAACTACACTTTGAAAGTTATGTAGAACAACCCAGAGAATGTATGGAAGTGAATGTCTCGACAAACTAAAAGATCCAGTGAACTACCCCGGGAATTGAAAGAAATATTGACAAGATCTCTGTGTTATAACAGTACTGTTATTATTAAATCGATATTACAATCTGACCTGTTTCCACTTTGATTGTAACCTGTTCTTGTATTATGAATCGATAATTAGTAAATGAATGATAGAGAGTTGGACTTTCTGTTTTTATTTCATTACAAATTTTACTGAAAAAAATCATCATAACATGAAATTAAAGAGAGTTTTTAAATGAAAATTACATGTTTCAGGAAATACATTCATTCAATGAATGATGTGGGGTCTGCATTGTATGCTTCCATGGGAATGATAATCAAGATAATTTGATTATCATAACATGGAATTAAAAAGAGTTTTAAATGAAAATGACGTGTTTCAAAAAAAGAAAGACCTATTTAGTCCATAAAGGACGTACTAGAAATACTTACAAGATGATGTTTTTTAAAGGTAGAAATGGCTTCTGTTTATAATGGATGGTAAACCATGAATTTTTATATGATAAAAACATCTCATCAAAAGCACAAGGCCACGCAATAGCCACTGTAATGAAATACAATAAAAGGTTAATTAGTTGACCAATCAGTTTCAATAACAGTTTGCCAAATTCTTTGTTTAATCAGCGCAGGTGATCTTAACGACATTAATTTGTCATGATTAACACCACGGTATCTGTTGAATTTAACTTTATTTATTTATTATCACATATTGACGTATATATTTATAAAGATATCGTGTGAAAGTATATGTACCGGTTATTGGTCTAATTTACAACTTGCGCCATTTTTAATTACCAAAAGTCTCAGAAACGGGAATTTACTAGCTGAGACAATCAACAATAGTGTACATTTAATCGTCGAAATTTTTAGCCTTCAAATCCTTGCGTTTCCAGAATTATCCGGGTTTGAATGTTAAGTGACGACTCGTCCTTTTTAAGATACTCTGTGATATATAGAAAAGACAACTATAGAAATAGTGAGTAAAATTCCTAGTTTGAAGTATTTTTAAAGGAATTATGCGATTTCGTACATTTTTAGTATTTTTGAAGACTATTTATACATAATCAACTCCCAAATCAACCCCCCAAATGGCGCATGATAATGAATTTGTTATGTCACCAAGCCCAAAATAAAACTTTTCAGATGAAATATTGATAATACGCGATCGCATTTGATTTTATCGCGAATCGCATGATATATTAATGTCGACTTCTTTTAGCAAAATATGTTGTACCATAAGGAATATATATATAGTTGATATTTGAAACCCTTATTTCTCTGCACCTGGCTTTTCAAAATGTTAAGAGTAGTGACCCATTTTACGTAACAAAGAAGGGGAATATTTGTAGGGTGACGATAAAAATCAAAATAGTTATTACCAACCATCATGGGTTGCTCAAATATCTGGGGTCGATAGCCATGATATACCAGTTTCCCACAATTATATTCTGTTTTGCTAAATTCAATAAGTTTTATTTACCATAAATACAAAATTGCGTCTGTCACCGAAAGAAAACCCGTCCCATTTTACGACATTCACTTGATGCAATATTTATTAACGGATATTTAAGTTACTCCGGGAACTTAGCCAAACTTTATGATTCGGTTCACAGATTTCTAACTTGTTGATCACGATTTTATCACATGACATGTCCTTTGAATGTTTATATAATTTTTTGTTCCTTAAGAAGTTATTGAACTATAACAAAATACCTATCACATGATCCCATAAAGATTGTATTGATAACGTTATGAATAGTATTAACAATAATGAAATCATAATACATAATTCTATATTCAGTAAGGTGTTACGTAAACTATAATTATCGATATAACATTACGATAATAATTATAGTTATATTATGCATACATGGGTCAGTTTTACAATCAAACTTAAAACCATGTATTATAATGTAAACTATAATAATCAGTATAACTTTACGACGATAATATCATGAATATGACCCAGTTTTACAATAAAACACTAAACATACACCATTAAACTAAAATGTTAAATATAATGACAATGTTAACTATAGAATATCTACTTCCAACCCCAAACAAACCCAAAGGTGTCAGTTTGTTTCGCAGGTTAGATTGCCATAATATTATACTGATTTTATCTGATCGTTATACATATGTACATATCATACATAATAATACCAAAAGGAAAAGTATGCGATAAGGCAAGGTTACTTAATCTGTACTATTTTTAACATAAAAAGATCACCAGGTCAATGATGATATCACATCCAGCCATCATGGGAACAGAGGAAACAATTCAGAAATCCTTGAAATATTATCATATTAATGATGTAACTTCCGTTAGTTGACAAACTCCCACGAGTTAGGCCAATAGATATTCGAAGTTGAGGATTTCATTATGCACTAAGTCTTGTATACTAAATCGAAACTTCCTCTTGACCTTACTCATGATTAAATTAGTTATATTAACTTGAAACATGAATAGTTTTTTTTTTTCTTACAATTTTTTTTTACAGAAAATAACATTTGCCCTTTTTTGCTTTTAAGGTTTTCGTTGATCAGAAATCAGAATTGAACAGAGCAACTGTTCAGAGACGAGAATGTAAGAGACGAAGAAAATGTAAAGCTGGTTTGATTTGTTTGGCTGTTGTGGTCGTGGCTTTGATTGTTGCTTTACCAATTTTGGTACTTCACATGAGAAGACATCACAGAGGAGTAAGTAACGTAAAGTATTTGATATTTTTCAACATGTAAAAACGTTTGTTGTGTAGAACTATGACAGATTATGAACTAGGGTAGATCGTTTCTAATTTGCGGATGTGAACATTGAAATGCTTTATTTTAGAAATTATATTATGAAAAAATTAGTGAAAAAGTCGAAATAAAAGCTTCTCTGAGGATAACTTATACTTATATGACCAGATTTAGGATGAGTTGGTAAGCCTTTATGAAGCCTCTGATACATTCGCTTTGTCTGCGTCCTGCGACTCTGAAACAAACGAAATGTTGAAACCAGGGCTATGTCATTTATTGCCGAACTACCTGTTATTAAAAATATTACTTGAAAGGAGAATAGTTCTAAGCTGTAATTATAATACCTCGCCATGTTTTCAGGTATTTAGTCGTTGGTGTGGAACTAAAGATTACGACAGAGTACCAGAACATGTTCGTATCGATGACCAAAGGAAATTGATCTTTGTAAACGGCACTAAAACCGGAAAATACGATGCCTTCAATGCTGTACATGATTACGACCACGTAAGTTTTTAAAACTGATTTTTCAAGCGTCAGTATGATACATGTATCATACCACATGTATAAATACCATACACCATGCCCCCCTCCCCCCCTCCGGATATATTACTTGCCCACACAAGCAATCAAGTCTGACTCTGAAGAAATTCTAAATAATATATATTTTAATGAATACTGATGGTTGAAGGCTCCGTCTAACATTACTTGTATTTTGACATTTCAGAAAATCTCAGCTTTCCGTCACGCCCAAACAAAGAGATGTTTTATGGATCCTCTCCACAAGTCTTTCAATGATGGTGTAAGAGAATGGGACCGTGAAGATGTAAGTAGTTGTTAAGAATTGTCAGGAACTTATTTCTCTAGCGAACTATTAATCTGTCATCAGATTTCATATATATTTTACTAACGATTGACTCCATAAATAATGATTGAAATCTTTAAATCTTCAGGATGATCATCATGGACGTAAAGGACACCATGATAAACACAGTGGTAAACCCGTCAGATACTTCAAAGCTTTGGACCCAACTGAGGAATCCGTTGCTCAAAGTTTCTGGGGTCAGCATGTTGTAAATCATTGCAAAGATCACAAATTCCACATGTTGAAACCCTTGAAAGGTACGTAAAATTTGTCCTTAAAATATCATACTAGTAATATTTATATATATATTTATATTGTTCAGCTTTTAAACTGATAAACATGTGTATTGCGATCACAAAATCATTACTTCGAAGGTGCGCCATTGTTTGACCAATCCTACCTTAGTCTCAGAAACGGGAGCTAAGCCAACCAAATAATGCAGACTATTTACATATTCAACACGTAAATCAACGCCCTAAAATGGCGCCTCTGTTCCTTTAAAGTTGTTGTGAAGCTAAAATAAGTTGCATTATCTGAAGGCAAAACCCAATTGTTGCGAAATGTATAGAAAAGTGTTCAAACTGTAATTATATACTACAATGAATGTTACATGGTGTAAAGCTACATTCTGCCAACAGGAAACTGTCATTGTGTCACAATCTGCTCCTTAGCTCGTATGATATTGTGTATTATCATCAGTATATCAACCCTTCCCCATTTTCTTATAATAGATTTAATGCGGGTATAATAAATCCATCTTGGGCATAACGTGAGGAGTGTTTAGACCCTAACTAGGGTGACTACAATACAAATAAAAGCTAACAAAACACAAACAAAAGTTCCGGCTAAATTTATGTAGACTGTATGCTGCCATTCCTTAGATTCCCAATATAAATTTATATGAATTTTCTTTTGTTCATTTCAGAAGCCCCAGCCAAGGTTAACACCAGCACCACTATTATCATTAGGATTGTTAGTGTTGATGCCGTGAGAATAATCTACATCAACATCAAAATGTAGATCTAATAGTTCACTTATTCTGTAATTCTATAAGTTATATTACTATATGTTAATACTCCGCCCAATAACTAGAAATCACTTTTGGATACAGCTCAAATTATATACAACGATCCTTGAAAATTTGTTAATTGACATATTGAAATAATCCACATTATTAGGAAAATGGACTCTCCATAACACCCAAACGTCAAGTGGTATCCAGTGTTTCCAAATTCTCAAATGACCGATGTAATCCATGTAAATCATTGAAGGTCCCGATTTATCACACCGAAATGCACTTTAGTATATTTTTATCTATTTTATTTTGTATAATCTCGAGTTTCTTTTCTGCTTTTATATTCAATCACAAACTGCATTTCTTTCGACCTTTTGTATTCTTTAAACTTCTTTTAGATTTTATATTGTAATAAAAAAAGGAACAGAAAAGTGTTCTTCTGGTAATCTAAAGAAGAGGTTATATTGATTTTTTACCAATAAAAAGTCACAATGACTTAAAGAACAACCATTTGTAACCCCAGCAAATAATGTTCAGAAGCACTGAAAACAGATCGCAAGAGCTTTTGTCTGCTTTGGTGATGCATATGATGAACCTGTTGTCAGCTGATTTAAAGAACAGTTCTGCGTGGTCACAACACAAACTGTCGTGACAATAAACAAAGTTACAAAACTGTTCTATTAAAAAAAACGCAAAGTGAAAACCGAAATCCAAAAGAACATATTGGCAATGGACGTTTCATATGAGGAAGTATATCAATCGGAGAATTGCTGTTAGTAACTTATACAATCATTGCACTTAATCATTATAATGGCGGTTTTCTGAGACCAGAATGAAAGATTCGAACGGAAACTGTGTTAGACCACCTAAGCATTTTCTCCGTACCGTCACTCTACAAGGAAATCAAGGGACAATAACTTCTTTCAAACATCACACTGGCCTTAAGCTTGGCGTCCACTAGAGAGTACATCGCGATTTCGCTCTCCGCCAGTAGGCCTAACTCGCATGTTGAAGGTGCTTTGCGAGAAACTTATAGACAATTGCAAACAACTCTCGATAGAACTGCCGTGGGCCATTTTCTCTCAAGTAGAAATAGAACTGCTAAGGCATCAAAACCCAACTGTCCATGGTTCGGCGTCTGTCATATCAAGCCATATATCTTGGAAACAAAGAATATTTCAACGCCCAAAGTGGTTCCTCTATCGCCGTTTGGCTCTAATTACCGACATCAAAGCTATCCAATTTTAGTAAGTTACGTGACATCATAATTTGTCTTACCTCGAGGAAACCTTGACACCCAAACAGACGACATTCAAAATCGCTACGTATTGAGCTATTATTTACGTAAACGGACTATCATTATCTCAGAAACTTCATTCTTCGGGAGCAGGTGTCCCTTGTCCAATACTGAGAATAACCCAAAATCCGATGCCTGATGATCGAAATGAACGTTTGATTATAACTTTCAGTGCTTGCATTTTTCTTAAAGTATCATTTCACATCGTTATTCAATAACACGGGATGTGGACAAATGAAAACTTAATACATCATAGGTCACTCCTGAATAAAATAATGTAAATGTTTGTACCAAGTGACCCACAGGAATCTTCCACTTCTACTTTTGTTATCAAACCAAGAAGATTTGAGAACAATGAGATGAGTTATCAAATGTAGCGACTGAGCAGCTAATAGAGGTAATCAAAGTTGCTCCCTGGACCAACTGTCACAGGTGTACCTGGCTTTCCACATTCCACATAAATATAGTCTGCTTATTTTTTGTGGTTCTCTTACGTTTTGTATTTGCTTTGTGATGAATATTTCTTTTGCTTACATCAGAATTGAAATGGTATATCATCGTACCATGGGTCGAATGCGTCTCAGTAAACATACTTTAATTTTTTACAAAAATAAACCTTTATTTACAGTTTTCAAAGAATCATCATGGCTGTCCATTCATTATTTGGGTCATTTCTTTTATCCACTGAAAGCTCTTGTATTCAAGAACAGTGTCAACACACTAAAAAATTTCGTACAACCCCTCGTTTGTTGATCTTATCTAATCTTACGAACTAAAATGAATTTGCAATTTTAGTCCTTTGATGCGAGATAAAGAGTCGGACATGGCTTTTTGGTTTTCTAGTATATTTCTAATTCTAGCGATTTTTCTATTAGAAGTTACAGGAATCACCGTCAACTCTAAATTAGGAACTATTGTGGGTAGAATAGAGACTGTAAAAGTGGGTCCTGAAAATGTCACTATTGCAGAATATTTAGGAATACCATACGCAAAACCACCAATAGGAGATTTAAGATTTAAAAAACCAGTACCATTTGGCAATTTTGAAACAGAGTTTAATGCCTCTGATTATGGGCCATCTTGTATGCAGTATTTACCTGGGATAACTGAATCTATTCAACCACAAAGTGAAGATTGTTTGTACGTCAACATTTTTAGCCCGGATATCAATCAAGATGGTACAAAATATCATGTTATGGTGTGGATTCATGGTGGTTCCTTTCTATTCGGAGACGGAAAATGGCGAACCGCTAATATATTAGCTGCGTTTGGAAACGTAATCGTGGTGACTCTAAACTATCGTCTAGGGCCTTTTGGATTTCTGGATAGCGATGATAATACCATATCCGGTAACTATGGTTTATGGGATCAACATATGGCAATTCAATGGGTTCATGATAATATTGCCAGTTTTAATGGTAATCCAGATAGTGTTACTGTATCTGGTGAAAGTGCTGGATCGGCGTCTGTCATGTATCAAGCTATATATCCTGGAAACGAAGGATTATTTCAACGTATAATTGCCCAAAGTGGTTCTTCTAACGCCGAATGGGCTCTAATTACCGACCCAGGAACAAGAATAAAGAAATATTCCGAGAAGTTTGGCTGTAACCAGGAAAGTTCTTCAGACATTGTAGATTGTCTACGCTCTATAACAGATGTACGAAAGTTGTCAAAAGAATCGAACATGTTTACGAAAGCAGGATTAGGGATAGATTGGAGTCCAACTTTAGATGGTATTTTTGTCACTCAAGAGCGCAGAGATGCCTTAAACTTTCCACTAGGAAAATCAAAGCTGCCCCATTTTAATAAGTTGAATGTCATAATGGGAACCACGAGAGGTGAAGGTTTTTCATTTTTGAATCCTAATCCTCCAAATATTGACTACCAAATTATATCCTCTATAAATGCAACAAAGAAACAGGCTGACAATGCCTTGAAGAATATTATTAAAACATCTTTGATTACTGTCTTTGGTGAAACTATAACTATGGACATGTTCGATGACGTGTTTTTCCAGTATTATCACTATAAAAATCCCTTTGATCGTAATTTGAGAATGCAGAAATTTGCAGAATTGGTTACAGATGTCTTTTTCTTCAAATCTATTTATTCGGCATTACTTAGCCACGTTCACGACAATTTGGACCATAAAACGTATAACTATGAGTTTAACGAATATACGGAACTAGTTCCATTGGGTCCTGTTGCCAACTGGTTAAACGGTGCCCGACATGCTGAAGACCTTTTCTATATGTTTGGTACTATTTATGATCTGGGAATAAAGAATAACATATCAAAAACCAGACTTGATGCTCAGTGGAAACTTGCATCTACCATGATGACGTATTGGACAAATTTTGCCAAAACTGGGTAAGTGATTTCTTAATACATTTACGGGCCCTGTATTATATCAATTTCTCATTTTATTTTCTTCTCTTATAATTGTTGTTAACTGCAGTTAGGTCTGAACTAAGACAATCAAAAACTGAAATTGCCATGACGAAGCCTAGGAAAAGACGGAAGGATTTCTTTTGGCGAACGCATGTGTATCGGGGACACGTATAGCTTCTTTTTGCTAGTAGGACTGGGTATCGATTACCAAATTGAGATCGATTATGGATGGCAGACTACCGATCAATAGCCTAATCGATTAATCTTCGATAATTCAATTGAGAAACCTTGTAAATACAAAATTAAAAACATGCCAAAATTCTTAATTTATGGGTAATTTTTACGTCATAGAAGTATACATTTTTGCTTTGATCGGTTATTATAGTTTATTGTGGGTATGTTATGTGCTGTTCTGAAGGGAACCTGTGTGGAAGAGATTATTACTTGTTAACGGGTACAATGGAAAAAGGACTTTTGACATATAATCTATTATGGAATTTGATGATAATAGATCATCGATTATTTCGATAATTTAACCCAGCCCTATTTGCAAGAATCCTATTTATTTGACACAAAGTAGTTATCTCACCCAGCGATTACGTAACTTTGATTTTACATGATTAAGATTCTGCTGGAAATTATTTGCAGATGTTGAAGTTGTTAAATCTGCGGGACATATATACAAGGTTTATTCAAAATTGGCATTTTTGAGCTTTCTCTCGTAGTTCATAAGGTATATAAGATATATTCAAGATTTGAAGTCATTCCGCTCATATAGCTTACTTATATTAAAAGGTTCATTTGAGAACATAGTAAACAATGTTTATACGCTCCTTAGTTTTTCTTATCTAGTAACATGTTAATATTGACCATAACAACATCGTTAAACCTTTTACATTGAACACCTTTTAAATTTTTTTATCATAAATGTCTTTACGGCTTATATTGACTTCGATTCTGCGATGGAAGTCATTGGAATTTTTGGAACTTTTATGGGTAGGATAAAGTCTATAAAAGTTGCTATTGCAGAATATTCAGGAATATCATACACTAAACTAAAAATAGGACATCCGAATTATGAAAATTGGGTAATTGTAAGCAATATTAGATATATAAAAAAAAACATATTAATCAAGATTAGATGCCTTTATCCGTCTACACATTCATGCATCCTGATTTCAACTTTCCGCAGCCTGTCATTACTAAGAATGATAATCCGACATCCGGTGCTTGCATTCTTTCAGTACTATCGTTACACAACCTTATTCAATAGCATGTGGTATGGACACGTGAAAATTGAATTCGATATAGGTCACTCATGAATAAAAAAACGTATGATAAAGGCGAGATCAACAGAGGTTGACCTATATCGCATTGTATTCTATTAGGTAAATATTCTATCACGAGAGCCACTTTTTTTTATTTTGAGTAAATGTAAATATTTAAACATTGTTTAAATGTATACTCTGTTAGAATATAGAACGAAATAAAAAATTGTTTCATAAGTTAAAATTTTATCAGGATATAATGAACAACTCTCTGGGAAGGCCTCGCTTACATTGGAAACTTTATCGATCTCATCTACCTGTATGTGGCTCTATATAAACGCTCATTAGCTAATGAGAACATGAGCGGATAAAATCAGAATCAGGGAATAGCAGAATATATAAAGATTCTATAGTATATTTTATTGAACAGGCAGTGAAAATGGCCTTAAAGATATTAACCGTGTTTTTGCTACAATCTGTTCTCATATATTCCTATGATGTTACAGTTACTACTAAATTAGGAGATATCATTGGTAAATATGAAGAGATACCTGTACGGCCGAGCAAAAAAACCATTATTTCATTTCTTGGCATACCTTATGCTCAACCACCAGTCGGTGACCTTAGATTTAGAAAGCCTGTACCGTATGGTAACTTTACAACACCTTTTAAGGCCATGGAGTTTGGTGCTTCCTGTCCACAATTCTGGCCTGGATTAACATCCAAGGTACAGGATGAAGACTGTTTATTTCTTAACATATTTAGTCCAGTAGGATCTGGTACCAACGTGAAGTATTCTGTGATGGTATTTATACACGGCGGTGGATTTATAATAGGTGATGGCAGATCACAGACGTACGGAAAACTGGCAGCTTTTGGAGATCTGATAGTTATTACACTAAACTATCGATTGGGACCGCTAGGATTTCTTACTTCCGGTGACTCGTTTGCAAGAGGAAATTTCGGATTATGGGATCAACATTTAGCTCTAAAATGGGTGAATGAAAATATTGAAAGCTTTGGAGGTGATACGAAAAAGGTTACTATTTTTGGTCAGTCGGCTGGAGGTGTATCGGTCATATTTCAGGCACTTTATCCTGGAAATAAAGGACTATTCCAGAGAGTAATATCTCAAAGTGGTACTGCGAATACTGGATGGGCAATGCTCACGGATGCCAACTCCAAAACTACAGAATTTTCTAAAAGGTTTAACTGTGATGAGTTTTATTCAGAAGCTTTATTAACATGTTTGAGAAACATTAATGATACAACCGAGATGGCTAAGAAATCATATATAAGCTTTTTTATTGATGGGTCTGTTGACTGGACTCCTGTTGTGGATGGAGATTTTGTGACACAAGAACGTGTTGATGCTCTAAAGCTTCCATCTAACTCGGCACCAATTGAATTATTTCAGAATATAAGCGTCATTATGGGAAATACTGGTTTAGAGGGTCAGCAGTTTGTCATACCAGGCACACCGTTACATTCAGCTGGTATCAATTCTTCATATACCATTGAAGATCTGAAATCCGTTATACGGACATTCATTCCTCGCACTTTAAAGGCTGTAATGGGATATGAATTAGACAAGAGTATTGTAGATGATATTGTTTATCAATATTCCAATTTCCAATCTCCGAATGATAAAAATGTTCACATTCAAAAAGCCATAGATGTTATTACGGATGCTGGTTACTTCATTCCTGTTCTGACAGCTGTGTTAAATCACGCTCGTGACAATACCAAATCCAGTACATATCAGTATGAGTTCAATGAACTGAATCCATTACGTCCTCATGATCCATGGGTTGATGGAGCTCTTCACGGTGACGACCTTCAGTATGTGTTTGGGTCAGTCTATGATGTTGGTGTTTCTAAAAATCTACCACAACCACAGCTCGATTCTCAATGGAGATTATCATCTATTATGATGACTTATTGGATAAATTTCGCGAAATCCGGGTAGGTATAGTATGGGCGTAAGATTTGCCAATGACTTAAAAGCAATAGAACGAAAGACCAGGCAAACGACTTAGCTTTTTGATAAAATGTGTGAGTCGCCGTAACTTGCTTGCTAACCAAGAAAAAAGTTGGTCGACAATTTTCACCTTCATTTTTATGCCCGAGACCCCCTCCCCCTCCTCATTTTGTAATGAAAGCCGTAACCAATCGGTTGGTCGGCCCTTAAAATAGTTAATATTTCAGTTACTTTTTTAAAGATACAGGTCCGATGTCTGAGAAGGCTAATAACATAATTTTCCTTTTTTTCATACAGTGCACATTTAGCCCAGTTTGAAGCAGGAGAATAGGATGTTATTTATCTCATTTCAATTGTCGTTAGTTAACATTGATGTTAACTTTTTCTTTTACCTATATTTTGATCGAGTTTAAGGGACATAATATCCCTGTGTTAACCTGTTAGCCCATAACATTTTTAACGACGATCTTACCAGTCATACACGGAGCTTTTGTTTTTATCAAATCAAAGATTAAGGTTTTCTGACATATATCAAAGCTGATGTGTGGGCGCAAATTGTCATAAATGTGTACAAATAAGTACTGTTTACAGTTACCATAGAAACTTTAATAAGAACTGATACGATTTCAAATATCAAATTTCCAAGAGATTTAGATACATGAATCATATAATTATCACACTTACAACAGCCCTCAGATTTTTAAACATATCGTTAAGTCGTTATATTTTTTATCGTTTCAGGGATCCCAATAAACCACTCACACCAGAGGTAATTTGGAAGCCTTTTGACGATAAAGATAGGAGTTATTTATATTTATCATCAGCGGAGATCAAGAATTATCAATATCTACATGCTGAACGTGCAGTATTTTGGTTGGAATACATACCAAAGATATTAAAAAGAGCGGAAGAGGAAAGGGAAAACATGAAAGAACTGATGAGAAAGGAAGACTGTATTAACTCGGGTTCTGTACTATTTGGTAGCATTATTTTGATCTTTAGTTCCATTATATCTTTTGATATTTATTTCTAAATACGCATATTACTCTAAGTATTTTATGGTATCTGATTTAAGACACATGGTAGGTTAGGATAAAATGTGAGTCGAACATTCAGGGTAATAATCCGGAGATGTTACAGTTGACAAGAAATGATCAATTAGTTACTTATCTCATTTTGCAAGATCAATTAAAATTCAAAATCGTCAAAGATATCAGATTAAAACTTATCATCAAAGCCGACAGGAATATCATATGTACGGGCTTTATTATTCCGGACGCGTTATATAAAGCGAAAATTTTCCGTGGCCGACATTATTTTCTCAGGTATTTGTTCTATTTTCTCAACATTTGCATGTGTCCTAAATAGTCTACTATATTAATTTTTTTTTATGTATTTACTATTTTGATTTTCTTCACTATCTTTTTTCACTTCTCGCTGTTTATTTTTTAAAAGAAAATTATTAAATCAGTTATGAAACGCTGTTCTCAGAAATGTATCTGTATCAAAGGAATTGGAGATCCGTTCCTTCTAAATGAAATGTGCTGCCTGTAGTCCAAGACATAAGATTTCATTGGAAAATAATTCAAGTCTGAGCAAAGTACACCAGTTTACACAAATGGTGATAAATAAAAAATATAACTTTCAAACACGGTCGGCGTAGTAATTAATAATGTAAAATTTGGTCGATCATAGCGTTCCCTCTTTCTTCTTATACAAAAGGGTTTTTATATGAATTTGATTTCTCAAATTTGACATTTGAGATTGCAATGTACTTTTATTTCAAATGGGGAATTATCTTTATTCATCATATCAAACATCTCGTTGTTAAAAATAACCAAGTACTTTAGTTCCTTTAATCTGAAAGGTGCCTGGTATTATTCCAGTTCTCATTGTTCTTTTAGCTGGTTGTCCTGGCTGACTTCCTCCAACATAGAAACTTATTATACCTACAATTATACAAACCATTTCAATATCAGATCTAACCTATATACCACAACGACATAGTAGAGGGCTTGGAAGGATTGTACGTCTTATACAAGGAGCGTTAAGTTCAGCGCCGAACCTGACCAACATGTTATTCCTCCATAACACGAACACAGACGATACAAGAACATGACAAAAAAATCTTAATCTTATGTTGCCGAGATGTAATGCTATGATTTAGAAATTCGACATGAACGGAAAGGTTCAAATGAATTAACTTGCCTCAGAACTTTGATTTTTTAGTACTAGTTACTTCCCCTGATTATATTTATTTTAAATGACTTCTTTGATAATTGGTGTAGCCTGGTCTTCCATCATGACTTTGTGTCTCTCGGAGACATCCGTTTTTCACACTCAAAGCAACCATTCTTACCTTCTTCAATAACCCATCCTTTATCATCAGTCCATACAGCCATGTCTTGTGGTGCGATAGAAAATTTAACTGTGGCTATGTCGTTTTTGGCCAATGTTACTCTGTTGAAATCCACCAGTTGAATATTTGGTGTTGTTACACTTGGAGAGTTCCACTTGAGGTATACTTGTACAACCTTCAACAGGACAACTTATTATTCCTTTGATCATTGTTTATGAGTACAAAATGTCCAACACAACCTTTGTTCATTAACAATGTTGGTGGTACACTGCTACATAAATGTCAGAGTTAAGGTATTAATATCGCTCTACATACAACGAATAAATAAACCAAGTACTAACGATCCGAACCACAAAACGAAACGCAAAACATTGGGGAATGGATCACAAAAAAGAGAAAGAAAAGCATTTACTTCATCAGCATCAAACTCTCCACGATTAGCTACCACAACCTGACCACTCTGTGAATCACCAGCATTTATCTCTTGTTTATATGTGAGTTGACTGTATACAAATATACCATAAGTTAAACCATAACCAAATGGATATAATGGTTGTTTTGTTGTATATCTGTATGTTCTGTCTACCATTGTATAGTTGACTATTGGTGGTACCTTCAAAATACAGATCATTAAAATGTTCTATTAATAGGATTTGCAAATCCAATATCCCTCTCTGTCGTGGCTACTGCTAGATAGAAGTTGAGACAAGCCTAAATTGGTTTTACCACAGAAGAGTCAATACATTATAAAGTGACAGCGCACTGAGTAACATAGGGTCGATTCCATTATCTTGCAGTTATGCTATATATGAAATGTTTGTACTATGTACCGGGTTTGCATATCAGTCATTCTTAAACCTTTATCACAACAGCATTATCTAACCTGGAAGATGGAATTAAACCATGTGTAAGGCAATCTTCCAAATTTTGGCATGTAATGATCAGTCATAACGTTTAATAAAGCAATACCAGTAGCTTGTCCTGGATAGAAAGCAGCTATAATTGCTGATACTCTTGGATTCATATCAGCCCATGTAATATTGACTGGTCCAGCATTAAATGTTATTAAAACAACCTTCGCTGACCCACCTGAAACGTGTTAAATAAATAAGTGCAAAGTGATCTAAAAACCACTTGTTAAATTACTGATTCATATTTCTAAATAACGCTGGCATTGTTGCTTTTTCGGATGCATTTCGTGTGGCATGAAGGTTACAAACGGGATTATGTATTTAGCTTATTTTGCAGATTTGCATTCAGACGATAGTTGGAGAATTCATATCATTTCATAGACCAAATAACATGTTATCTGGCTAGTTAAGATAACTGGAACACTTACTATAGTGTATTGCATCTTGAATCAACTGAGATTGGAAACCGGGAAGGTCTACGTCACGTCTGTCATTAGCCTCGGCTTCCACTGGAATACCTGAAGGTATAGATAGGGTAAATGCAGTTAGCTGAAATATAGAAGCAGATCTCGTGAGTGCGTAAAAACCCAACAGCCATTTTGTATGTAGTAAAGACATGATAAAGAAAAAACGCACCTAATCCAATACAGATAAAAACAACATCAGCATCAGTTACTGCAGACTTAACATCATCAACATTATACTGCATACAATGTGTATCATTACAACCATCAGCATAACTTGTTGTGTCGTAAGATAACATATAAAGTGTATCAGAGGGCGTGGTAACAAAACGTCTGTCTACAGCTGTTTCATAATCACCATTTAAAAGAGCAGCATTATTAGACATGGGTCCCACGATCTGAAATAGGAAAAGCGAATCATTACTTTATTCGACAATCTTACCTAACT